AMATKKATMYTWRWAAAAAAAAAAAAAAAAAAAAAAAAMAAAAAMAAAMAAAAAGAAAGGACAAAAATATTGCAAAGCTTGAAGCGCTTTAGTTGGATTGAAACGAAACGAGACTCGAGTTATGTTGTTTAAAAAAATAACATTGCATAGTGTAGGCAATATTTCAATGTTTTTTCAGTTGGCTTTCAGTTCAATGGCAATGTAAAGACATATACATATATACATATAACACACGTACATGCATACATACATTCGTAGTACCGAAGAAATAAATCATTGATGCATAAAAATTGCATATCTTCGTTATAATCGAATGCATGAAGATTTTTTTGTTAACTCTAAGAACAGCAGCAGCTCGAACGTAAACACGATTATTAAACTTTTGATCAACATTGTTAATAACGAACGTGATTGCGTAGATATTATTGAAGGGTTTGGGATGAGATAGATAAAAAAAAAAAAAAGGAAAGAAAAAAAAATATACAAAAAAAAAAAAAAAGAAAATAAAACGAAACTCACTAATGATTACGTTCCATTCATTCAACAAATTGGGTTCATATCTCATCTTTTTTATTGAATACAAAATTCGCGTGATATCGATAAAAAAATTGTGCGTGCGTGAGTACGTGAATAGCGTGTCTGTTTTTGACATTAATATTGCAGTCAATATCAGATAATAGTAATCGATTTCATACATATATGATTCGTACGAATGAACACACGATATTCATTTGGATTGATTGATTGATTGATTGATTTTATTTTTGCATTCGTTGCTTTTTATTTTGCTAATCAAATTTTTCCTTTTTTCTTCTTGTTTCTCTGTCATAGGTGAAAATTTGGGTTGCTTTGGTGGTAGTAAAAAGAAGAAGGACGGTCAACCGGTTCAAAAGGAGAACGCAACGTCACGCACGACGAGTCCAAGAACGGAACCGGTCAGAGGGATGGAGTTACTCTGGCAACCGGAAGTCGTTCAGTCTTATTTAAGCCTTTTACAGACATGCTCTAATCCGGAAACATTAGAAGCTGCGGCAGGAGCATTGCAAAATCTTGCAGCTTGTTACTGGCAACCGAGCATTGAAATTCGGGCAGCTGTTCGTAAGGACAAGGGCCTTCCTATTTTAGTCGAATTGTTAAGAATGGAGGTACGTGTCTTCTTCTTTCAAAAAAAAAAAAAGAAAAAAAAACATCTGTAATTTATTATTTCTTTATTCCTTTCTTTTCTTTCCGTTTCATTTGAGAGAAAAATCGTTCGTAATCAGCACATTTAACTTAATTCTCTCAGAATCTCAAAGGAAAAAATACTGTTTGTAAAAAAAAAACAAAAAACAAAAACAAAAATAGTTATCAATTGATTATTTTCCCAGGTGGATAGAGTGGTTTGCGCAGTAGCAACTGCTCTGAGAAATCTCGCGATAGATCAGCGCAATAAGGAGCTAATTGGTAAATATGCGATGAGAGATCTCATACAGAAGTTACCCTCGGGGAATAATCAGCATGATCAGGGGACGAGCGACGATACGATAGCAGCTGTGCTTGCAACTCTAAACGAGGTTATCAAGAAGAACGCCGAATTTTCACGATCTTTATTGGACGCCGGAGGTGTCGACAGGCTTATGAACATAACGCGACAACGTCAAAAATATACCCCTCGTGTTCTTAAGTTTGCAGGTAATGAAAACAAGATCAAATAGAACGAAAAAAAAAAAGAAAAAAAAGAAGAAAAATATTATAAGTATAATCTTATTCGCGTCTCTCGCGATAATCCCGCCTTCGCCGTTCCGAAAAAGAAAACCCATTAATTTCGTTTAATAAAGTGATTTAAAAACTCGGTCACTTCCCCTCTTTACTTTTTTATAGGACAAGTTCTTTTTACGATGTGGCAACATCAGGAATTACGTGACGTTTATAAGAAACATGGCTGGAAGGAACAGGACTTTGTAACGAAAACTGTCGCTGCTAGAAATTCTGGACCTAATTCGCCAAATAATGCTAACAGGTATTGCCGTACTATTCAATTATTAATACTACATAAGATAAATTCTCTCTATTGTTATTGTTTTTATTATATTTATACTTGAGACAAGATATATATCCTCTGTTAATTAATTTTTAGTTTTGGGACTCTGCTTTTTATTCAGTTCTTATTATTTCTTGTTGAATTTTTATTTTGTCTATGATCTTTCTGTGTGCTTTTCATTTGTTTTCATTACGTCATTAATAAATTTCTATTATATGTTATATTATATTTTGATTAAATTTAATGCAGAGTCCCGGAGTTATATGTAAACACGTTTATTCTACGTTAAATATAGCTATGATTGTAGCACATTGAACCGACCAATGGCGAGTCAAGGAAGTACGAGATACGAAGATAGAACTATTCAAAGAGCTAATATTAATTCAAATAATGTTGGACGACCTACAATTTACCAATCTGTAAGTAATGATATGCAGTAGCGTAATTAATAATACATTAGTGCATTATATATCAAGAATATTTTTATATACATACATGAGCGTATCGTACTGAATAAAAAAAAAGAAGAGAAAGTAGTAAATGAACAAGAAACAAAACAAAAAGAAAAGAAGCCAAACGAAAATACGAAAGAACGAAAAAGAACAAACATTTTCGCGGGACAAATTTAGCCAATAATAATATTATTATTATTATATAATCGACAATTATATATGTATCTACGTAAAAATGAACAACGTTTGACTTTAACATTATTCTAACATGTTTTTTAATACTTTTTTTAAGTATTATATACATAATTATATACATACATATATATATATAAAAAAAAATAATAAACGAAAAATTCAATTTTTCGCCATTTACAATAAGTAGATACATATATACATACTTACATATACAAATACATGCATACGATTGACCCTAGCAAATAGGATGTATATTTTATAGAATTTTTTTGAATAAGTGCCAACGTGTGTTATAAATAAAAGTTCTTTTTTTTTTTGTATTTTTTTTTTTTTTTGTTATATTTTTTTTATAATATTTTTTTTTTTTTTTCATTTCTCCCAACAATGTGATAATTATATACACTCTGGAGGTCTATCTTATTATTGGTCCTCTATTGCACACAATAATAAAAGAAACGAACAAATAAAAAAAAGAAATTTTTGCGATTAGAAAGAAGTTGATTTGTAATATCTATATACGTAAGATATATTTAATAATATTTATAACAATTTAGAAATACATTTGTATACATACGTAAACAACACTGGAAGATATTATTATCATTGTATCAATGTAATGATATGTAATGATTTAATGCACGTTAATTACTCGTCAAATTATTTCTTTTTTTTTTATAAATTTTTATGTATTTGATATTCGTTTAATCGTCATTCACGATTTAAAAGAAAGAATAACTCTGACATTTTATTATACACACACGCACATACGCGCACACTCAAAAAATTGAACGTGTATTATAGATTTGAAATATTTCTTCTGGTAGATGAATAAAAAAAATAGAAGCTAAAACTAAATCATTAGACAGAATAACATATCAATGAAGAAAATCCGTAATATCCAGTCATAATTGAATCGAACGACAAAATAGGATCTCATTTAATATCGTTAGATATATTATATATTGGACATAGCATTATATATGCATGTATATCATAAATCCTAATCATATAAAATAATAATGTTCATGTAATATTATTGCTAATAGGATAACATTGATCGCATTTATAATAGATTTGTAATAATAATAATAATAATAAAAATAATAATAATAATAATAATAATGATAAAATAAATAAATAAATAAGCAAATGAAAGATAAATTAAGAGGCTGACATATGAACGAAATGATAAGAGATAGTTCGCTACTACCACCGTGATAAAAGCCATCCCTGCCGTTGATCAGAATAAGAAGTTATTATTTATTTACAAATTTTACCATAAAAGAGAACCAAAAAGACAAGAAACAAATATTTGATTTGATGCACTTATCAGGTCCCCCACCCACCCCCACACCCTCCACTTTCACTTTTGACAAAATACAAAATAAGAAAATTAATATAGAAGAAATAAGGAAAGCACAAAGTGAAAAAAAAAACTGAAAAAGGGAAAGAATGGGCTAAAGAGAGAAAGAGAAAGACAGAGAGGGAGAGGGAGAGGGAGAGGGAAAGGGAAAAGAGGAAATAAAAAAATAAAAAATTAAAAAAAAAAAGAGAAAAGCCCCCCCAGAGCTTGTATACTAACCGTTGGCTTGTGTGTATGTTGCAGCAGCCGAAACCCGGTGAGCCGCTCTACGCGCAAGTTAACTTGGAGAAGAAAAAGAAGCGGCAATACGAGCTGGGGGTGGGCCAGGGAGGTGGTGGTGGAG